TTTGAGATGGAGTCTCGCTCTGTTGCCCAAGCTAGAATGCAGTGGCATGATCTTGGCTCACTGCAACCTCTGCCTCCCGGGTTGAAGTGGTTCTCCTGCCTCAGCCTCCTGAGTAGCTGGGATTACAGGTGCACCCCACCATGCAAGTTTAATTTTTGTATTTTTAGTAGAGGCGGGACTTCACCACGTTGGTCAGGCTGGTCTCGAACTCCTAACCTCGTGATCCGCCTACCTCAGCCTCCTAAAGTGCTGGGATTACAGGTGCCTGCCCCGTTTTTTCTTTTCTGTTTCTCCCTTCTGAAATGGAAATGTCTGACCTGCACCTCTCCCAGCATCATATTTTGGAAGCACACAAATGTGTTTGATTTCACAGGCTCACAGCTGGAAGGGAATCTGCCTCAGGATGAGTGTCTTGAGTCTCTCCCATGTTTGATTAGATGAGACTTTGCACTTAGATCTTAAAGTTGATGGTAGAATGAGTTAAGACCTTTTGGGGCTACTGGGATGGGATGAATGTATTTCATATGTGAGAAGAACAAGAATCTAGGGGAGGCCAGGGGAGAAATGCTATGATTTGAGGATGCCCCTCAAAAATTCTGGTGTTGCCGATGTAAAAGTATTAAGAGGTGAAACCTTTAAGAGGTGACTAGGCCGTGAGGGCTCCTCTCTCAAGAATGGGATTAGGCGCACTTATAGAAGGGTTTAATGGAAGACCCCCTCCCTGTGAGGACACAGCAAGAAGGTCTTCACAGATGCCAGAGCCTTGATCTGGGATTTCCAAGCCACCAGAGCTACGAGAAAATAAATTTCGGGACAATTTGACTTCTTCTTTTCCTAATTGAATACTCTTTATTTCTTTCTCTTGCCTGATTGCCCTGGTCAGAACTTCCAACACTATGTTGAATAGGAGTGGTGAGAGAGGGCATCCCTGTCTTGTGCCTGTTTTTAAGGGGAATGCTTCCAGTTTTTGCCCATTTAGTATGATATTAGCTGTGGGTTTGTCATAAATAGCTCTTATTATTTTGAAATATGCTCCATCAATACCAAATTTATTGAGAGTTTTTAGCATGAAGGGCTGTTGAATTTTGTCAAAGGCCTTCCCTGTTTGCAGACAACATGATTGTCTATTTAGAAAACCCCATCATCTCAGTCCAAAATCTCCTCAAGCTGATAAGCAACTTCAGCAAAGTCTCAGGATACAAAATCAGTGTGCAAAAATCACAAGCATTCTTATACACCAATAACAGACAAACAGAGAGCCAAATCATGAATGAACTCCCATTCACAATTGCTTCAAAGAGAATAAAATACCTAGGAATCCAACTTCCAAGGGATGTGAAGGACCTCTTCAAGGAGAACTACAAACTGCTGCTCAAGGAAATAAAAGAGGACACAAACAAATGGAAGAACATTCCATGCTCATGGATAGGAAGAATCAATATCGTGAAAATGGCCATACTGCCCAAAGTAATTTACAGATTCAATGCCATCCCCATTAATTTACCAATGACTTTCTTCACAGAATTGAAAAAAACTACTTTAAAGTTCATATGGAACCAAAAAAGAGCCTGCCTTGCCAAGACAATCCTAAGTCAAAAGAACAAAGCTGGAGGCATCACGCTACCTGACTTCAAAATGTACTACAAAGCTACAGTAACCAAAACAGCATGGTACTGGTACCAAAACAGAGATATAGACCAATGGAACAGAACAGAGCCCTCAGAAATAATACCACACTTCTACAACCATCTGATCTTTGACAAACCTGACAAAAACAAGAAATGAGGAAAGGATTCCCTATTTAATAAATGATGCTGGGAAAACTTGCTAACCATAAGTAGAAAGCTGAAACTGGATCCCTTCCTTACTCCTTATACAACAATTAATTCAAGATGGATTAGAGACTTAAATGTTAGACCAAAAACCATAAAAACCTTAGAAGAAAACCTAGGCAATACCATTCAGGACATAGGCATGGGCAAGGACTTCATGTCTCAAACACCAAAAGCAGTGGCAACAAAAGCCAAAATTGACAAACAGGATCTAATTAAACTAAAGAGCTGCTGCACAGCAAAAGAAACTACCATCAGAGTGAACAGGCAACCTACAGTATGGGAGAAAATTTTTGCAATCTACTCATCTGACAAAGGGTTAATATCCAGAACCTACAAATAACTCAAACAAATTTACAAGAAAAAAACAAACAATCCCATCAAAAAGTGGGCAAAGGATATGAACAGACACTTCTCAAAAGAAGACATTTATGCAGCCAACAGACACATGAAAAAATGCTCATCATCACTAGCCATCAGAGAAATGCAAATCAAAACAACAATGAGATACCATCTCACACCAGTTAGAATGGCAATCATTAAAAAATCAGGAAACAACAGGTGCTGGGGAGGATGTGGAGAAATAGGAACACTTTTACATTGTTGGTGGGACTGTAAACTAGTTCAACCATTGTGGAAGACAGTGTGGCTATTCCTCAAGGATCTAGAACTAGAAATACCATTTGACTCAGCCATCCCATTACTGGGGATGTACCCAAAGGATTATAAATCATGCCGCTATAAAGACACATGCACACATATGTTTATTGTGGCACTATTAACAATAGCAAAGACTTAGAACCAACCCAAATGTCCATCAATGACAGACTGGATTAAGAAAATGTGGCACGTATACACCATGGAATACTATGCAGCCAAAAAAAAAGGATGAGTTCGTGTCCTTTGTAGGGACATGAATGCAACTGGAAACCATCATTCTCAGCAAACTATTGCAAGAACAGAAAACCAAATACTGCATGTTCTCACTCATAGGTGAGAACTGAACATTGAGAACACCTGGACACAGGAAGGGGAACATCACACACCAGGGCCTGTAGTGGGATGGGGGGACAGGGAAGGGATAGTTTTAGGAGATATACCTAATGTGAATGACGAGTTAATGGTTACAGCACACCAACATGGCACATGTATACATATGTAACAAACCTGCACGTTGTGCACATGTACCCTAGAACATAAAGTATAATATAAATAAATAAATAAATAGAAAATAAATTTCGGTTCTTCATAAATTACCCAGTCTGTGGTATTCTGTGACAGCAACACAAAATGAACTGAGGCAAGTCAGTTGCTGAAGTCAGACCTCCTTGTAATCAGTGTGGTCAGAACTTAGCCCAGGTCTCTCAGCCTCTGTGCTGTTTCCTTCCTGCAAGGCCTCTCTGCTGAGTGCTCACCCATCCTCTGTGCACACACACCTTCAGTGTCGGGGAACTCATTACCCCTCCCCAGGGCTGCCCACCTATCCCAACTTTGGACACATTTCTCCTTCTCAGGACATCCACCCATTGGCCCCCACATCTACCCTAGGAATCTTCACCCAGGACCTCTACAGACAGAGGGAGCAGCTACCCAAGGTAAGGCAACAACTACACAGAAGAGGAGAGTGGGATGAGGAAAGCCCCGGATGCAGCCCATCCTGGTGAAAGATAAGGAGGTTTATCCAGAGGGAGGGAAGCCAGTGGAGACATGGGGAGCAGGCCCCGTGGAAGACAAATGAGAACAAAGCCCAGAATGTGGGAAGGCAGCAGGGCCGGGCGGGGCTGGGCGAGCAGGACACATGGCACAGGCATGTGATTCTCCAGCAGTCAGAGCTAAGGCCCTAATGAGACTGGAATCCTAAGTGCTGTGCCTTGAATTTCTTGGCTTTTTTCCCTAGAAATTTATTCTGCAAATGTGCCTTGTGCCATCCATCCTCCCAGATGGCTTTTTAAGTGAAGCTGTTTGTTAAGTGGGAGAAGAACAGGGACAGGGTGGGAAGGGGAGGAACAGGTGGAGCCGCTGCAGCCCTGCGCCTCACCCCCAACCCTCGAAGGAGAGGAAGTAGGAACAGCAAGTGGGAGAGTGGGAGGGTGGGCAAGGGGAGCCCCCGTGGTCCCACAGAGTGTGGCCTCCCAGGGTCGGGACCCTGTGGCACAACTGAGTCCACATAACCGGGGTCCCAGTGACAGTCTCTTAACAGTGACTGGGCCCCAGTGTGAGCACTGGGTGAGCACTTTGGAGTCGCTGGCCCTGTACATCCTCCCACATTCCCATGGAGCAGGCACCATGACCCTCATCAGTCGCCAGAGGAGAAACTCAGAGAGGTGCAGTCACTTGTCCAAGGTCACACAGCTGGTGAGAGGCTGACTGGGGATTGAAGCTCTGGCTCTTAACTAAGATGTCACTGTTGCTCAGGCTGTCAGCTGGAAGAACCTTCGTGATCAGCCCCCCTGAGGCACGCAGGCCCCAAGTCATCAGTTTCTCCCTCTGTACAGTGGGCTGGTTGGTGCCCAGTGGTCCCCAAGCCTGACTCTGCATCAGAATCTCCTGGGGACTTCTCGGCAGTGCTGAGGCCTGGGCCCTGCCTCAGTATCTAGAATTTTTAAGCCCCACCCCATCCCAGGACATTTTCTCAACCCACTTGCACAGGGTCACACTGAAGGTTGGAGGGTCTAGAACCCATACCCTACTCCCTGGTGAATTCTCAAGGTGAGTGTTTGCAGAGCTGATTGCAGTAGAGGGATGAGGAGGTAGAACTGTCTATGCTGCACGTCTGCAGCTGTCCGGAGGGAGGATGGCGATGGATCCCATTTCTACCTCTGCATCTAGAGGTCTCTTTTGCCCCCTCCTTCCTCTGTGTAACCCCCACCCCACCCCCACTCCTCCCTCCAAGCCTGGCTTGGAGGGGCCGAGATGGATCAGCATGGTGCCTGGCCACAGCTGGCATGTCCATCACCCTGTGCCAGCCACCCCAGCCTGGGGAGCACAGCAGCAGCTCAGTCAATCATTATGGAAGGGAAGAAGACAGGGCCTGGGAGAGGTGTGGTGCCAGGACAGGGGTGGCACAGTAGAAATGACAAACAGGCTTCCCTGTGGCACTTTTCCAGGCTGGCATTATGTTTCCCCAACCAGCAAATGCAAGACACACACACACACACACACCCCTACCTTTGTTGCCTTTTCTTCCCTACGGACAAGGCGGATGTGTCAGCTTCCTCCTCAGTCTCTGAGTGAAGGGAGGGGAGACGCAGGGTTGACTTGACGATTAGGTGGTGGAGATGAGGTGTCTCACCTTGTACCTGGGGGTTTTGTGTTCTTGGCTCCTCCAAGAGGCCGCAGGCACCTCCCCTGATGTCTGTGAGCCCAGCGTCCTCATCTTAGCCAGGCATCCTCACTCCCCTCACAAAGCCTGAGCCCTTGCATGTCACAGAAAGCCCTGACACTGCCTTGCTAGGAGGCTCAGCGAACAGAAGTTTCACTTCGTGAACCCACAGGGACTCTGACCCGGACCTCTGAGGAGCAAAGGTCCTATCCCGTGAGGCTCCCAGTCCCCGGGGGGATGGGCCTCTGTCACGGTCCCCTGGTCCCTCTCACACTGGGGCCTCCCTGGCCAGGATTATGTACCTGAACAGGGGTCCAAGCACAGGAGCATGTTCTGGAACCCACCCCTGATATCCTGCAAAAAGCCAGGGAGGGCAGCAGGCAGGAGAGAGAGTGAGGGCTTCCGTCAAACCCACTTCTCTGATATTAACCCTGATTCGGCCTCTGGTGGTGAGTGTGGACAGGCAGGTGATTTGGGGAAAACTGAACATAGGGGAGTGGATGAGAATCCAACATCCCCGTGGACATCTGCTGCCACCGTTGACAATGACAGTGATGATCATCGGTCCCCTGTGTGCCAGGCACGGTGCCAGCCTGACATTCTTTATCCCCTGGAATCCTCACAACCATCTCCTGAATAAGGTCCCTCCTCAGAGGAGGAGACCCAGACTCTGATAGAAGCCATCGCCTGCCTGTCCCCAGTCTGGGCCCCTGGTGGCTCTGGTGTCATCTGAAACCCCCAGCTTTTCCCACTGACACCACCTCATCTGTGAGATGTAAAATCTGCTCACGTTCTGAGGACAGCACGCAGTGGAGACAGTCCCTTTTAGAGGAAGTCTGCGGAGGCGAGTGTCAGAGACGATGGAGTACTGTGTCCTCCGAGACCAGTATTGTCAGAGGCGCCCATTACGGAACAAATGAGCTGCGTGCCGGCTCAGGATGCACGGAGGAAATCGCTACAAGGACAAGGGAGTGAAGGGAGAATCCATCAGCCTGGGGCAGGGTGGGGCTGCCCGCAGTCTCACAGCCTGGCTGGGAACCAGCTTATAGGGGTGATGGGTGAGGAGTGAGGGGTGTTCACAGGAGTTCTTCCTAAGACAGGAGCTGCTGGGATCAGAAGTTTCTCCTGGCTTAAATTTGTCCCATGAAATCCAATTCCAGAAATGTTTTATATGGTGGGTATCTGTGTCTGGGGCTATGCTAAATCCTCCATATATACCTATAATTATCTACTTTTCAGGGCAATGCTATGGAAACAGTCATTATTACTCTAATTTTCTAGAATGGGAAATTGAGGCACAGAGAGGTAAAGATGCCTAAGTTTACACAGTTGCCAGGCCCTGGAGCCAAGATTCACAGCCAGGCTGCCTGGCTTCAGTCTGGGTCCTTCACCACCTTGACACACCATGCCTGCCTGAAGCGCAGTGAAGAGAGACAAATCACTCTAAGTGAAGGAGAGCTTGAGCAAAAGATGGAAGCAAGAGAATTCTACAACCAACCTGTCTTTTTCAAAGAGCGTCTGACAGTTCAGGCTTCAGCAAAGATTCCTGGAACACCTACTGTGTGTCAGGCAGTGTTCTGGGCACTGGATGGGCCCAGGGAGGGAGACCAGGCTACTGTGGGTACAGGGTACAGGGAGACCTGGAGGAGGAGAGAGCCATGCCTGCGGCACAGGGCAGTTGAGGCAGAGATGGGACCAGCTCCTCTGACTCCCTACTTGGGGCTGCTTCATCCCAGGTTGGCTCTTGTCCTTGTCAAGCAGCTTCCTGGAAGCCCCAGAACTTAATTTGCTTATCAAGTTGCTGGGAAATAGGAGCCACAGGTCAGGGCTCCATGTGCCAATGATATCATGAAATATCATCTGGGACCAATCAAATCAGTAAAACAAAAAAACAAATAAAACATTAATACATAATGCTAGTGAATGTGTGGTGAAATAGACATTCTTATGCAGTGCTGCGGCAGGGAGTGTCAAGCAAATCATTCAGGAAAGTGATTAAGTAATAAAGACCATGAGGCTTCAACATATTTATATCCTTTGATGCACTGATTGCACTTTTAAGAATCTGTCTTGAAGAAGGGATCAGGGATTCAGGCAAAGATAATGCCCCAAGATGTTTATCAAAGTCTGATGATGTATAAGAATGAAATATTGTAGCCCCTAAGTATCTAAGCTGAAGGATGGTGATACCAATTTTAATGCATCCAAATGTTGGTCTATTATAAAATTATTAACATGATGCTTTTGAGAAATTTCTAAGGATTGGGAAAATGTTCCCAATATAATAATACATAAGGAAAAAGGCCAGGGGCGGTGCCTTACAGCTGTAATCCCAGCACTTTGGGTGGCCAAAGTGGGGAATTGCTTGAGCTCAGGAATTCAAGACCAGTGAAACACATGGTGAAACCTCATCGCTACAAAAAAATACAAAAACTTAGCTGGGTGTGCCAGCTACTCAGGTGGCTGAGGTGGGGGGATCACCTGAGCCGAGGAGGTCGAGGCTGCAGTGAGCTGTAATTGTGCCACTGCACTCCAGAGTGAGACCCTGTCTCTGATTTTTAAAAAAAAAGGAGAAGAGGAGAAGAAACAACTGAATAAAAGCATGATCCCAATTACATAAAATTTGATATATACATAGTGAACGATTAGAGGGTGATGATGATAACAAAATAATAATAATGAGGCTACTATTTACTGAGTATTTGCTATGTGCCTGGCACTGCACTAAGTGCTTTACATATATTAGTTCACTTAATATTCACAACAACCCCATGTAGAGATATTATTATCTCCATTTTACAGATGAGGAAAGAGAGGCACAGAGAGGTTAAGTGAAATGTCCCATGCCACAAAGCTAAGAGGCTGAGCCAGGATTTGAACTCAGGTCTGGCAAACTCCAAAATCTTTGCAGTATCACAATAACTCACTCCATTTGCCAAGATGGGGAAACCAAGGCAACGTATGTGGTGCTGAAGGTTGGCAAAGCCAGAGCACCAAGGGTGTTGTGATCCATACTGAGACGTTACACTTCATCCGTGGCCCTGAACAGAAGACCCTGGCCGATATAGATTGGATCTGTCTCTCCTCCCACATTTCATGTTCAACTATAATCTCCAGTGTTGGAGGTGGGGCCTGGTGGGAGGTGATTGGATCGTGGGGATGGCATTCTCATGAATGGTTTAGCACCATCTGCTTCCTGCTGTCCTCAAGACCGTAAGTTCTCGGGGGATCTGGTCATTTAAAAGTGTGTGGTACCTCCTCCTTTGCTCTCTTGCTCCTGCTCTGGCCATGTGACGTGCCTGCTTCCCCTTCACCTTCCATCATGACTGTAACTTTCCTAAGGCTTCCCCAGAAGCCGAGCAGATGCCATCATCCTTCCTGGACAGCCTGTGGAACCTTGAGCCAATTACAAATTACTCGGACTCTGGTATTTCCTTATAGCAATGCAAGAACAGATTAACACATCAGCCATGCTCCTGAGGATCTCAGACCAGGACAATGACCGCTCACTGGGATGCACTGTGAGCCGGGGGAGGGGAGGAGCACGGGGGCTGCTTTCCAACCCCCACTTCCTACCCTGCACTTTGTGCCCCAGCAACACTAACTGGCTTGTCAATTCCTACACTTCTGATACGGTCTCTTCCCTCCACACCTTCGCTCATGCTGTGTCCACTGCCTAAAATGCCCTCTCCCCTGCCTTGCCTGGCTACCTGGCAAACTCCTCTGTATCCATCAGCATCCCAGGCAGAATGTCATCTCTCTGGGAAGCTGCCCTCTTGCTCCAAGGTGGAGTTAGCATCTCATGCAGTCCTTGGAATGGTCCTTGTCACCGGTGTTGCTATCATCTGTGTGTCTCCTCCTCCACTAGAACGTGGACACTGTGGGACAGGCACTGTGTCTTTTGCCAACAAGACCAGGCATGGTCTAGGAGGGGCCAGAGCATGGGCATTAAGGGTGGAAGCTCCAGAGTCCAGCTCCAGCATCGCCACTTACTAAAGCATGATGTGGCAGGTGACTTTATCCTTCTGTATCTCATTTTCATCATGTTTCGAGTGGCGATCACACTGGCATCACCTCATAGGGTCTGCAAGGATGAAGGGAGTGAATACCTGCAGTGTTAGGTGGTGCCTGGTGTGTAGATGGCACTAAATAAGCATTCGCTCTTATCTCTGTCTTTGACTCTTCCTGCCTCCACAGGGCCTGATGCGGAAGCTGTAAATGTTTTTTGAATGATTAAGTGACTGTCTCGGCCTGGCTTTAACCACCGTTAAAATTCCCCATCCCCAAGAGCTCCTTGCTCAGGGTCTCTGCCGTCTTTCCCAGCAAGCTGATCTGTGCCCTTTCCGCTGCCATCCTGCTCTGTGGTCCCGGAGGCCCTGTGCAGGCATCGATAGGCTCCCAGGCCCTCTGGCTTCAAGGTGGGTTTGACCATTGGGGCCACGAGCAGGAGATGAGAGAGCAGGTCTTCATCTCCCTGCACCTCCCCTGCTGTGTCTCCGGATTGGCTGCATTCCTCCCCAAAAGGCCACAGCCCTTCTCAGCAGAGCTCCACATGCAGCTCTCTAGCTGTCTCTGACCTACCCTCCTCAGGCCTTGGCACTGAAGGACTCCCTATTCCTGTTAATCCTGGGGTCCTGCACCGTCCCTTGTGGTCAGTGCCTTTCAGAGCTCCCGCAGCCCTGCGTGAGGGAGGCCTGGCTCCTGCAGGGCCCTGCCCCACCCTGCACTGCCTGCTTCTCCCCTTCACAGCCCTGAGCTCTGACCTGCCTGCCCACTGATCTTACTTTAACATGGCCTCTGCCAGGAGAGCTGCCCCTCATCTCTCCAGCCACCCACACCCTCCCCGGTTCAATGTCCTCCTGGAACCTCCCCAAACTCACCTCCTCTGACCCCAGGGCCCTCTGGAGTCCCATGGCTGGAAGCATCTCTCATCTAGACCTGCACGGCCTTTCGTGTTTGAGTTGTTAACGTGAGGCAGAGCTGATGTACTGGGGGCCAAAAGCCCTGAGTTCAAATCCCACCTCCACTCCACACCAGCTAGGTGAGTGTGGCAAGTCATCTCACCTCTCTGAGCTTTGAGTTTCTCACCAGTGAAGTAGGCAGGACCGTCAGGACCCTACGTGGCCAGTGGAGGCTGCGAGGCAGTGACAGATGCAAAGCACTCTGTGCACATTAAGAGGCTCAGTAAAT